CTAATCAGATAGAGGGGGCATATTTAGGGGAAGTGTTTATATTAGGATTCAGGACACTATATGAAGGAATTAGAATTCTCATGAAGTCTCTTAATAAAAGTCTATTGAAGGTTTGAGTCGTATAGCAAGGAGACAAACGGCACAAGAAATAAATCATTAACAAAATATAGGACCATTCACATGGTTGACTATGTCCAGCCTGTGAGTCTCTCTTTTTGGGTTGGCCCCCAAAAGATACACAGGGAATATTGCTCAATCCACCAACTGTTTATGACAGAGAAGTTCATCAAGTGATGTGACAGGCCCAGAACTTTGTTCAGTACAGTACTCTCCTTTTGACACTGCTGTGAACATTGTGAGGGCTTGTGGCTCCAGAGCAATGTTAGTGAAATGAGTCTAAGTAGGAATTTTGGCTGCTACCACTATATCCTCAGGGATTTTTTTCCTTCTTAAGGTCAATTTCATTTTGACAAGGCCATGTCAATGGGACACTCAATGTCATGTTCAGCATTTAAAAAGTTCAGCATGGTGATGGACTGGGCTTTGGTACAGGAGTCAGGCTTACCATAGGGGATACACATTACCTTGACCTGGGATTACTCCTGACAGAAGAAAAACAGAGGGTTCTACACCAAACTGATCTATTTAGGAATAGAGTTAGATACAGTGGCTGGTATCTCCAGACTCCCTGCAAGTAAACTTGGTCATCTTAATTTTGCATGCTCAGTCATGGCAAAATTAAGATGAACAATAATAGCCTGCAGTTTGTGCAAAGTCACCTTCTTGGCTGTGCTGGCCTCTCGATCAATCCCATAAGTTCTGCATGCTTAGAGATAACAAGGCCAAATCATTTTATAAGAGTGAACAAAGAAATGAAGGAGGATTCGTGGCCATGGCATCATTTCCTAACTCACTTTAACGGAGCTTATTTTTGGAGACCGGATTCATTGGTAAAGGCAGTCCTCAAAGTTCAGTCAGATGCACTGGGTTTGGGGATTTTCACCATCACAGGTGGTGTGCTCAGGGATGGTCCACTTACTGGATAGAAAGGGGGATAGTTAATGACATCACATTCCTGGATTTCCCCCCCTATTTTCAGTGATATTTGGGGGGATGGAGTTTGTGAACTGAAAAAAAAAAAAAAGAAAAGAAAAAAGAGTGAGATCTAGAGTGACAACCTGGCAATGATACATGTTATTAATAGCCAGCCCTGCAAATCACTCAGGGTTATGAGGTCAGTTAGGACATTTTCATTGCAGTGTTTTAATTTATATAATCTATTTTGCTGCTAAAAGTGTCCCTGGGATTTATAACCGCATAGTGGATGCTTTGTCTCTATTACAGAGGGAGAGATTTCAAAACTTGGCACCAGGTGCCAACAAGGAACCCAAACAAATACTGCAAGCTCTTTGGAACTTTGCCTCATGACTTCTCTTGGATTAGTGTAGCAATTAGTAGCACCACGAACATTTAGGGCTAACGCTGCATGTTTTATAGAATTTACTTAAGTTCAGGCTAGGGTGGGCATGTGTAAGATTTGGCCAATTCCTGAAGACCACATCAGTGTGTGGTGTCACTGGTACAGTATCGGCTGGCACCATCATCAGCCATCTCCAGTCATTTATCAGGCCCCATATTTTGTAGCAAACTGTCATGTTATCCAGATCTTTGTGGTGGGTTTTTAATTAGGAGGCTATTAAATGGGTGGTCACAATCCACAAGTCCCAGGGAAGATCCCCAATGATCCATCACTATTCAGATTCTTCCGAAACTGGAGGGAGTTCTTCACCGGCAACCTTGCTGTGACCAGGAGGCCTCTTTGTTCAAGGAAGTATTCCCATTGGCATTTTTGGAGCATTCAAAGTCAGCGATTTGGTGCCTGGGTCAGCAATGGATACCTCAAACAGGGATTTGGAGTTTAGGGACTTACAGCTTGGGTGAGCAAACAATCATCTTGACCCTGAGAATGCCAAAGACAGATCAGGGATGGCAAGGTAAGTCCATAGTACTGCATGAGGGTGGGGAGGCAGGGACATGCCCATTGGTACCTTGAAGAACTTATATATGGCTGAGGCTGGCTGGTGTTGGACACTCTTTCTTCATGTTGACAGGACCTACCTCAAAAATTCCAGTTTGTGGCAGTCTTTAAAAAAAGGACTTATACTGCCAGGCTTTCCTTCTAGCAAATTTGGATCCCACTCTTTCATAACATTCCTTTCAGGATTTAGGTGGTGACATCTGCAGCACAACTAGGAATGGGGGCTCAAGGGACACAGGCAATTGTTTGATGGCATTTGAATGGATACAGGACATATGGGAGGCCCCTGGTTGAAACTAGAGACCAACAGTGTCAATGTGCCAATTTTTTGTTCTTTTTGACAATTTTCAGGAGCAAGGCAACAAGGCATAAGAGCAAGTATTTGGATCTATGGGCACAGTATTATGTATTGGGCCCATAGGCAGGCAACCAGTTTTGCTGGTAGTTCACAGCAAGGCTTCACTGGTGAGGTGATTCTGAGTTGACAAGGAAGGGGGCATGCTAGGGGAAAGGCAGATGTCCCTCTTACACTCTTTGGCAGCCAGGAAGCAGCCATCTGAAAGGATTAACTTACACCTGGGTGAAAATAATTTGAAATTTCATCAAGTGGTTGACTTAACCATTACAGCATGGAGATTTAAAGCAGGTCCCAGGGGCAACTGGGAATTGGTCTGAAATGTTGCAGTGAGGAGCCACTGGGCGTCCACAGGTTGACAAGATCAGAAGGTGCATGATTCAGAAGGTGGTTAAATTTGTATGCTAGTTGGGTGGATCGGTGATTACCCACGAAAAATTATCATATTCAGGGAAGATGAGGCACACCTCTCTGACCAGGGAGCATATATATTTTTGCCTGATATCAGGAAGGGAATTGTTAACCATCTGGGGACCCAGCTGGGCAGCCAAGACAGCCAAGTTAATAGCTGGCATCTCTTGCTGGCAGGTGTACAATGCAGGTATTCACTTAATAGGGTTCTGGTTTCCCGGTAAATTGTAACTTGCAGCAGATTTAGGGAAAGGCATCCCTTAAAGCACCTGGGAATGGGGCTGGGGCTCCTGATGTCAGGTACAGCTAGGAGACAACCCCCTTTCCGCAACCCCTTAACCTTGTTATGAGGAGAGGGCAGTGGGGTCCCAGCAATGGGGTGTGACAGGCTGTGGAAAGGTGGGGGCTGACAGCAGCCCTCCACAAGGTTGAACAGATTACAGAAGAAATAATGATCCGCACTATACCAATTGTTGCCAGATTATTAACTCATCTGGAAACTAAGTTGTAAGCTAGTTAAAACACATCCCTGGTGTCTTGTCTGGTCTTTCCATGTGTTCAGGACAATGAACTTGAATGCTTAGTAGGGAGGAGAAAGGAAATGCAAACTTCACTCAGTAAAGCAAGAATTAAGAATTTTTTCAAAAATGTCATCAGAACAGGTCCCCAAATCCAAAATATCTTTTAAATTGTATATGAGGTTGCAATATTTGAAATGTGAAAAGAGCAAATGTTACTGTGGTGAATTTCACATTTCACACCAGAGATATGCTATATGAAAATCAGTTATAAAACTAATACCCCACCACCAAAAGGTACAAATACAGTATTTTCCCCAAATTTTAGCTAGCTGCAGCCCATGATTATGGACATATTCAGGCTCTTTTAAAAAACAAACAAACTGATGATAGGAAGTTAATGGTGGTAAAGTCACTTGTTTCACAAGATGTATGCAGTCTCAAACCATAGGATGGGGAAGTCTTAGGAATAATTCCTGGATCCAAAAGTATCATAGTCCAAAGTTGTACGTGTGCATGCAAGCGTGCATATACACAGACACACACACAAGTCACACTTCAATTTTTTCCAGATTGAAAATTCTACCACTCCCAGCAGTCACAAGAAATCACCCTAAAAACCCCTAGAATCTTTCAAACTGAAAGAAGTTTTGCACACACAATATCCCAACACAAGCACATAATAGATTCCCAGATTTTGAAGCTGGAAGGGACCATTACAATCATGGTTTCCCCTCCTGTTTAATGTCAACCTTAGAATTTCATCCCATAAATCCTACTCCTACTTGATACGCCTTTGTTTATACCCCTAATAACCACATTATCCCTTTCAACTGGAGCAGTGTTTCACAAACTTTTCAGGTCAGTGGCCTCTTATACAAAGTCAATTATTTTCATTATCCTTTTCTATTTACTGTAAAAATAAAAATGTATCCAGGATAACAATGATAAATCTACGTGTTATTTGTGCATGTGTTTTGAAAGACTAACAAAGAATAAGGATGTGTGGGGAGTAAGGGAGCAATATTTTAATTGCTTTAGATTGTAAAAAAATTTCCAGTGCCACAGATGCCCCCCGGTTGCCTTTTGTGACCCCCAAAGGGCTGTGTAACCCACCAGTTGAGAAACAAGCAGCTAAAGAATTGTAATAGGAGCTCATATTCAGCTAGCTATTTATAATGACTTCCAAATCCATTTCAGAGTCATTGCTTTCCAGGATACAGTCCCCCAACCTGTAAGTATGGTCTACATGCAACATTTTCAAAAGTTGCAGTGATTTAGAAGTCAAAACCCCATTGAAACAGTAAATTTCAACATGTCTGAAAATTTTACAGTACATTCTTTATTCATAAATGTATGACTAACGTTCCTGGATACAAACAATTTTTCTATAATTTATTCTTGGAACTTCAATAATATTAATAAACCATTCAAGCTTCAATTTTGTGGTTTATGAGGTCAGCTCTCTCAATGGATTATAGTCTAATTATATATGGTGTGTGTGAGAGAATGCAGTCGTTTTATATGAAGCGGTATTTCAGTTTCTACATTTTAACAGTGCATCACAAAAAATTCACTTCATCTCATTCTCACCCAAATGATATGCAAGGTATTATTAATAGTAAAGTAACAAAAAGTATTCAAACGTATATTGCACATGGGATATAAAACCATTTACCTGTACACCTATATCAAGGCTGATGGCATGAAAAGCATTCACGAGTATCAAGCAATTGTGCAGACATTGTTCAGGAGTTCCCGGATTAGTATACATATTCGTAAAGTGAGTTGGAATCTGTATAGAAGATAAAATCAAACTCATCATATTGCACTGGAGAAAACTAAGTATACGTATTCTTCACCTTCTCATTATTACATGTATGTTCATATACACCCTGAACTAAATAGTCCAACTTAAGTACATACTCAAGAAAAGAGTAATCACTGAAATAATAATTCAAGACTTACTATATATGGCTTTATCTTTTAAAGTTCCTGCAAGCTGAGAGTTCTAAAATTAAAGTGGATAATAACAGTAGTAATAAATACTTAGACTAATGCTCGTCCAGATATACAACTGACAAAGTTTTTTTTAAATAAGAAGATATGAAAAAAGTTCTTACCAAATATGGGCAATAAGCTGCCACCTGTGCTGCCAATACTAGACCATCTAGAAGATCTCTGTCAAAATTTACTATCCATCTCATAGGTGGTACTTCACCTGTTTGAAACAATATAACACAGGTTAGAATTATCTTCTCCCTTGAGAGGTTCTACCGTAACTTTTCACAGAAAGGATGACCTATGAAATAACTAATAAAGACAAGTTACTCATCTGTACTAAAGTTCTCAGAGTATATCTCTTCTGTAAATTAATGTTGTTGGGAACACATTGGGTGTGTGCCAGAACCATCCAAAGTACAGAAACGACTACTTGCATCCTATGATGCAGCTGAATATTCACCACAAAGGGATTTCCAATGTAACCATCCCCAGTTCTTTTTCAGCCACTTGAAATACAATTAAAGGACTCAAACAGAAGGAAGAAAGGCAGGTGGGTGGGCACCTCGTTCATTATGTGGGTTGTTTAAGAATTATGATGTCCTTAACTCTATTTGTTTAAGTGCTTGGGTTATAGATATCTGTGTGTGTGCGCGCGCGCACACACACACACACACACACACACACACAGTTTCCTTCCATTCATAGGGACACTGATATTTATACAAAGCCCCTGAAATGCAAGAAAATACTTGAATACTTTCAAGATAAGCCATGTAAACCATGCCAGTGCAACTTGTTTTTTGTTGTTGTTGTTATTTTGTTTAAACCATTGAATTATTTGGCACTAATTAATCAACAAGTGTTATGTAAATGAAACTGAACAGTTTCCATTTACTGATGCACAATTAAGCAGACAACTAGCTCTACCTTTGCTTCAGCATATGCACTCGGATTCCTCACATAATTGAATAATTTTTGTTTTCCTGGTGCTTTTGTGAAAAGTAATCACTCAGTTAAGTTCCCCATATTTCATAATTGACAATTATGTTTTCCAGCTTTAATATTTAACACATCAGTGCTTAAAATATGTATCCCCTGCTCTTAAAAAGCAAAACAGCCTATGACTGTCCCACAGAATTACAGCTGGGGGCAAAAGTGCCATTCGGGCGGATTTACACCATGTCCAAACCTGAACTGGCTGCGCTCTGTGAATACCTTCAGGAGAATCTGGTCCAAGGATTTATCCACAAATCAACATCGCTGGCCAATGCTCCATTCCTCTTGTTAAGAAAGGAGACAGCAGTCTCCGACATTGTTAACTACCGGGCCCTGAATCAAGAGTAAGGAATCAGTACCCTCTGCCCCGGATTCCTTAGTTACTGGATCACATGGGGGCTTCCCATATGTTTGCTAAGGTGCCCCCCCCCCAGGAGACTATAACCTCATGAGCATTAGGGAAGATGATGAATGGAAGGCCACCTTCCGAATGCACTGTGGTCATTTTGAAAACCTGGTAGAGCAGTTCAGTCTGACCAAAGCCCCCATTACCTTCCTGCAGTTTATAAACAAAGTGTTCCTGGACATTCTGAACCAATATGTAGTGTTTTATCTAGACAACATCCTGGTCTTCTCAGACAACCCTAAAAACTACACACACATTGGTCATGCTTGAGCAGTTCTTGAGAGTTTACGGGTGCATGGACTCTATGCTAAGCTTAAGAAGTGTGCATTTGATCCTCTATGCTCTGCTCTGGAAGAATGCCCAGTTCCAGTGGTCCCCCACACCTAACATGCATTTGATCAGCTGAAACTCACCTTTACCGTTGCACCCATACTGGCCCACCCTGATGCCTCCTGAACCTTTTTAGTAGAAGCTGATACCTCTAGTATGACAATCAGGTTCATACTCTCCCAGCAACACAGATCTGAACGAAACACTACACCTGCATGCCTATTATTTGTGGAAGCTTACTCCCAACAAGAACTAGGAGATCTTGGATAAAGAGCTCCAAGCCACTAAGGTGGCCTTTGAAGAGTGGCAACATTATTTGGAAGGGACTCACCGTCCAGTCCAAATATACACTGACACAAACAATTGGAATATCTGTGCAATGAAAAGGTATTAAATCAATGGCACCTCTAATGGGCTCTTTTTTTTTTATGGTTCAATTTCACTATCACATATTGCTCCAGAACCAATAACAGCAAGACCAATGCCTTGTCCTGGAACTTTGACACTGAACCACATGGACCTAGCCAGGAACTGGCTCACATTCTCAAACTCCTCAACTTCCTGAATAATGCTCTTTGCCAGCACCTAGTCACACCGATTCGTTTTGCCTCTGCCTCAGAAATTCTGCCAGACAAACAAGCTGCCATTGACAGGGAAGCAGACAACACTTGGAAGGGGGTTACATTAGAGAATAACTGCATTAATGTTCCCCCAAGTCAGGCAAGAATGGTGGCCTTACAGCTATGCCATAACTTACCTCTGGGCCATTTTGGTGAAGTGGTCTACCACCATCAAGACTGTTGTGAGTCCACAGGACTCTGACAGCTTCATGATAAAATCCAATGCTTAAATGACCCAGGATCAGGTTGGAGTGTCTTCAGAATGGAGTATATCGCAGGGTTTGTGGCACAGCATCTTAGCTTGAGCACACACATTGCAGGATTGCATGAAGACCTGTATTATGTGGCACATTCAGGGCCATGAGAAAAGACATCACCGCCAATTGTGGATCATACTTTACAGCCTAATTCTGGTGTGAGGCCCTTCTGAGGTTCCAGCTGCACCTCTCCTCCTTCTACTACTCTCTGTCCAATGGCCAGACGGAAAGGATCCATCAAATTTTAGAGCTATACCTACAATGTTATATTAACATTCATCAAGATGATTGTTCCTCACTATTACCCTATGTGGAGTTTGCACACAATGCAAATGACACAAAGAAGGGAAAATCCCCTTCTTTGACAACTATGGGTATAACCCCTGATTCCACCCACAGCTATCTATGACCTCTCCTAACCCGAACACCTCGGACTTGGTGCAGAGGATTCATCATATCCAGGAAGAAGCAAAGGGCCATTTGGAAAAAGCAAAAGTCAACTACAAATGACATGCAGACCCAACATCTTCATCCAGACTCCACCTATTCAGTGGGACAAACAGTGTGGCTCTCAACAGAGCACCTCTACACAAACAGACTGTCAAATAACTTGGACATCCAGTTACTTGGCCCTTATCAAATTTGTCACCACGTTAACCTGGTCATTGTTGAACTACACCTTCCCTGATCTTTCAAGATCCACCTGGTATTCCACAAATCCCTCCTAAAACTCTATGCCAAGGATTAATTTCCACACAGGACCCAACCACCTCCCCCATCAGCATGCATACAAGGCCACAAGGAATGTGTCATGTGTGAGATCTTCGATTCTAAACACCGGCAGGATAAACTTTTATATCTGATCGACTGGGAAGGCTATGGCCCTGAGGAATGTACATGGGAGCCAGTGGAAAACATTCACACACTCGCTCTAATACAAGCTTTCCATGAGAACCACCCTGAGAAGTCTGGACCCACGGAGCCTGGAAGGCACCCGGAAGAGTGAGGTCAGGTCCCATGGGCCTTGAACCCAGATCAGAGGGGGTCTTGGGAGTCACCACACTCCAATCCTCCATCTAGAAGCTCACAGACAGCAGCAGGGACCAGGCTCCATGAAGCCCAACTGGGGCACAAGTCCCACCCTAATGCTCTGATTAGGAGAACTCCATAGCTCCTGATTGGGCTGCAGCCCTGATTTAAGCCAGAAGAGGAAACAGGAAGCTGTCCATTCAACTAGGCTTCCCCTTGCCACAGACTGCTGGTCTGGTGATTACTTGTTCCTGCCTTCTAATCCTGACCTCCTGGCATCCTCAACTCGGTCTGATCCTTGCTAACTGCCTCCTTCATCAAGTAGTAAGTGAACCGACGAGGGGGGATGCCATTTTAGATTTAGTGCTGGTGAGTAGTGAGGACCTCGTTGAAGAAATGGTTGTAGGGGACAACCTAGGCTCAAGTGACCATGAGCTAATTCGGTTTAAACTTAATGGAAGGATTAACAGAAATGATACTGTAACTAAGGTTTACAATTTCAAAAAGGCCAACTTTAATAAATTAAGGCAACTACTTAGGGAAGTGGATTGGGCTAACATACTTAGGGATCTAAAGGCAGATGACGCCTGGGATTATTTCAAGCAGAAGTTGCATGAGATGTCTGAGGCCTGTATCCCGAGAAAGGGAAAACGATTAGTGGGTAGGACATTTAGACCTAGCTGGATGAGCGGGAGTCTCAAAGGGGCGATTAAGAAAAAACAGAAGGCGTACAGAGAATGGAAGAAGGGAGGGATCAGCAAGGAAACCTACCTTAGTGAGTTTAGAGCATGTAGGGATGCGGTGAGAAAGGCCAAAAGCCGTGTAGAGTTGGACCTTGCGAGGGGAATTAAATCCAATAGTAAGAGGTTTTATAGCCATATAAATAGGAAGAAAACAAAGAAAGAGGAAGTGGGACCGCTGAAGAATATGGATGGAGTGGAAATTAACAGTAATCTAGGCATGGCACAATATCTAAATGAATATTTTGCTTCGGTCTTTAATAAGGCTAATGAAGGGTTTAGGAATAGAGGGAGTAGGACAGAGGTGAATAGAGGAGGGGGGATAGACATTACAGTATCAGAGGTGGAAGCCAAACTTGACCAGCTAAACGGGACTAAATCGGGCGGACCGGATGATCTTCATCCTAGAATACTGAAGGAACTGGCGCGAGAAATTGCGAGCCCCTTGGCGACAATTTTTAATGAATCTGTAAACTCGGGGGTGGTACCGTTGGACTGGAGAATAGCTAATGTGGTTCCTATTTTCAAGAAGGGGAAAAAAAGTGACCCAGGTAACTACAGGCCTGTTAGTTTAACTTCTGTAGTATGTAAGGTCTTGGAAAAAATTTTGAAGGAGAAAGTAGTTAAGGGCCTCGAGGTGAATGGCAATTGGGACACATTACAACATGGGTTTACGAAAGGCAGGTCGTGCCAAACCAACCTGATCTCATTCTTTGAGAAAGTAACAGACCTTCTAGATAAAGGAAATGCGGTGGATCTAATATACCTCGATTTTAGTAAAGCGTTTGATACGGTTCCGCATGAGGAATTATTGGTAAAATTGGATAAGATGGGGATCG